TTTTCACAAAAAATTTACTTTTTCAACTTAAATTTTGAAAGTGCTCCGGAAATACTAACACTTTTATACATATCTTAAATGAAAGCTAATGTAACATACTTTATTACGGAAAAAATAAAATTTCGGACTTTATTTTATCTTCACGGTGAAAATGGCTACCAAATGCTTTTTTTGTGTGAAAATTCTCAATTTTGAATTTTTCATTTTTAACTTTATTATGCTACAACTTTTTGAAAAATGTATGGATCAAAACACTTTTTTCATAAGAAGTAGTATTTCTATACATCTTTCATTCGACATACTGTTTTTTTAAATCGAATCATTTCCCTTAATACAGAGGGGGTTCAAAACATAAAAATTCATATAGAAAGTAGAACTTCTTCAACTTTGACACGGCCCGCGTCGCTTCGTTATACACGATGCCCCGCGACTCGTGCCACCTTTATCAGCCGTCGCCCTACTATGAGTATTTGACTGACCAACACCGCGTGTTATACGCTACGGTGCAAAGTCCAGCAAATGCCGTACGGCCGACGACGACCCGCCGCAAATGGTGCGAGAGTCTTCCTCCCGTTGTGAAAGCGACAACGTCGACAGCCGAACCGCACCCGCGCACCGTCGCCTACAACGCTGCTAACCATTTTGCCGTCCAAGGATTACGCCGAACATCGCGTCGTCGACGCNCAAACCATTTTGCCGTCCAAGGATCACGCCGGACATTGTGTGGTCGACGCCAGCGAAAGTGCCGCGATATTATGCGAAGATTATTATTACTGTGTTTATCTTTTCGGTTTGTTTTATTTTTGTTAACATAATCTGTTGTCGCTCATTTAATAAACGGCCCACGGGTCTCTACCCTCAAAACCAGTGTCGACCACATTTTTGCGACGTAAGTCGTGTCAAATTGTATAAAATATATGTAACATTTCATTTTCAAAAATTTAAGTATTGCTGTTTTAAAGTGTATTAATAATTTTTAATTTAACATGTATGCAATTGTAAATAAATTCTTTTTAGAAATTATGTAATTAAATTATTTGTATAGTTTTGGCGAATTACTTAAACTAAATTCACATCAAATAAATTAAATTAACAAATTATAAATATATGNCGAAAATTTAAGTATTGCTGTTTTGGCGAATTACTTAAACTAAATTCACATCAAATAAATTAAATTAACAAATTATAAATATATGTATTAGTAATAAATTATTGTTATTAAAAATCAAGTTGTATAAATTTAATTTTCAAAATATTTATTTATGTTATTACAATAAATTGCAAACAATCGTGGAATATAAACTTCATTGAACAATACCAAGAAAGCCGTATCCTGATTTAACAATAGAATCCGTTCGACGATCGTGTCTGTTCGATGAACGGACGATTCAAAAATAGGCCCCCAGGTTATTTTTATATGACCACTAAAATCCATCAAAAAATAGTTTAACACGCTTATTAACTTAGTTAACAATCAAGGGAACCAAGTCATTAAATATTTCCCCCCTCATGTAAAAAATAATTCCGGCATCTCTGATTATATATATATATAATTCATAAATAATACATGTATATAAAACTGGAAATATAAAGATTTACACATTTACATTTCGGAATATAGTCATATAGAAACTATAATTGATTTAGTTTTTAGTAAATACCTGTAACACGTTAAATTTTATATTTCTGTGTATTCTTATAATATTACTATAATTAAATTTTCTATCGAGAACATGACGCAATACATAAATGATACTTTAAAAAATTGGTTTTTTAGTAATTTTATAAATACTTATCTAAATATAGTTGAAGTAAATATAGAACAATATTTACATAATAACAGTTATAAAATGTAATAAAAAAAAACGTTATATTCAGTAGATATTTTGTTTTACTATTAACAAAATATTTTTTAAAATGTTGTTTCTATACATTTACTGTTTAACATTTGTTTGTGTTGTCAATTGTAACAGCACAGATGAAAAACTGAAAAAATTAAACATTCTGGTGAATAATGATGTTTGGTCCGAGTTTGAAAATGGTCCACGACCAATTGAACATACTAATGGACAGAGCAGAAAAATTTCTTTCCGTGAATTGTTTTCAAAATCAAATGGTGCAGTATTTACTGAAGAAAATTATTTAGAAAAAAGTAAAAATTTCCATACTATGTTGAGCTGTAACTTTGCTGTTGGTTTTAAATATATCACTATAATAATGAATGAATTATGGAAGGAAAGTAAAAAATATATTTTAGAACCTGAAAAAACAGAAAATGGTTCCAGTGAAGAAACTGGCAATGTAAAAGACTGCAAAGATAATTTAAGGAACGATTTATGTCAGAAATGTGAACACCTTCTGGAATCTGAAGAAAAAGGAAATTGTTCCGGTAAAGAATTCGCTGAAGAAAAAGTGTGTTATGAGAAATTAAAGGATGAATTAAGTAAAATATTTTCGGAATCTAAAATAAAAGAAGTTGGTTCTAGTGAAGAAGATTACAATGAGAATACAATATGTGAGAATAATGAAACATTGGAATCTGAAGAAGAAGAAGAAAATGGTTCCAGTGGAGAATTCAACGATGAAGATGACTGTCAAGAAAATTTCATTTCTGATATTTGTGAACAATTTTACGAACAATGGACCTCTAGGTCTGAGGACATTGGCAGTTCTAATACACCTATATGGTTGAAATATAATTCATTTTTAGCCACTGAAAAAACTGTACATGGTTCTAGTGAAGAATTCGATGTAGTTAAGTACAAGGGTAACTTAATAAATAATTTAGATGCTAGTGTACCTGAGCTAATGCGACATGCACTATCATATTTTATGCAACTTTCTGAAATCGAAGAAAAAGAAAGTATTCTACCAGCTTTAGATATTATGACACAATTTGCAAATGATAAATTTTCGATTGAAAATATAGATAATAATATTTTGAAAATGAATACAATTTTAACGGCATTTATAAAAAATAATTGTTGGTTTAAAGAAAATCGTACAGGACCCATGCTAAAAACCGCTGATGACATTGATAGAGATTGTTGGCTTAGTACATGTTCTGAACAGCATTATCTCTCAGTACAAATAGAAAAATTAAACGAATATTTCAAAAAAAGAATTATGGATTTAGGTTTTAAAAAAGTTGAATAAATTTTAAATATTGAATGTTAAAAAAGTTTAAGGAATAATTGTATCATTATATTGACTATAAATTTGTTTTATATCTTTTAGTCATTGTAATTAATAATGTTAAATAATATAATCTATGTTGTAAGACTAAAATAAAGTCAATTATTCACAGTTGTTTATTATTTCATCGCACATATTTTGTTGTAACAAAGTTCTAAATTTATTACCTTAAATTATGATTTTTATTTTATTTTTAGATTCTGCTGAAAATAATTAAAAATATATACTTGTTTAAAAAATAAAATTAATAAAATCTTTCATTAATTTAAATTTTGCATCTAAAGTATTTTAATTATTTGTTGCTCAAATTAAAACTATTACAGTATTCTTTTAGCGTAAATACTAATGTCCATACTAAATTATATAAATAAAAATGCTGAAATGGTACGCCTTTATTTTGGTATTCTCAACCATCAGTATTGTTCAAGTCTTTGCTCCATGCAGAGCTATAATCCACATAAAGCTTTTTATAAGTTATTTCCTGGTGTCCAAAGTTATTCTGTTTGAAGCAAAAATATATCTTTTCATTTAGTAGTCCTGTTTACCTTGCGCTATTCTACATTCTGTATCTGTATGGGTTATACCATTGCTTGTGATTTTGCTCTCAGATATGTGAAGTTTTGAACTTTTCCAGCGATATTCCATCTAAAACTATGTAGTAATACAAAAATAAAATTAAAAGCTACTATGTATAATCGGGGTGTTTTTTGATCAAGGTTGGATATTTGGGGTTTGGTCAATTCGTGAGCAACGAGGTTCTATCGGGGTTGTAGAGTCTGAGGGTTTAGAACAGTAAAGACAAGTAAATATAATAAGAAATGAATTAAGTTCCTGTCATAGAGGTAGTAAACGTTGAAGTATTCTTGTAGTGGCCGTGGTCTTGGCCTCCTATCTGACTCCCAGTCGAAGCGTTATGTTAACTGGTATGTGCTTTAGTAGGAATACTGAGGCATTCTTGGAGTAGAGGAGGCCTCCTCTCTGACACCTAGTCGAATCATATAACCAAACACTAACTAGTTTTTAATAATTAAATTAAATAATTTTTAAATCAAATATTTATATACAAGATGGAACAGATCTAATTAACACTCCCATAACTTATACATTAACTTACAAATTTTTAAAAATTTGACATTATTGAAATAATCCAGAAATTAATGAATAATTTAAAATATATAATATACCGCTTACTAGCTATTTATTTAAAATTAGGTTTTTTACAAATAAAGAATATAAAATATGATGAAATCGTTATAAACTATTGTTATGAAAAAATGNTAAAATATGATGAAATCGTTATAAACTATTGTTATGAAAAAATGTGTAAATTGAATAAATAAAAAAAAAACGGTAGCACAGTGGGGTCGAGGCACAGTATGGACGAGTCATAGATGGGACAAGTATAGATGATATCTGACAGTGATTAAAATCACTATCATAAGAAACGCTTCGATGCAA